TTTTTTGTTAAATTTAAAAAAAAATAGAAAAAGAATTTTTTTTATTAATTTATTTTTACACCATTCAATTCAGCATTAAAAATAACATAAAAGTACATATTTTCAAAATTTTTAATGAAAGATTATTGATATGATCTTACTGATATGAATAATTGATTTTTGATAATTGATTTTTGAATACCTTCCCTAAAGTCAAATATCCTTTAATTTAAAAAAATAATTTGCCTTTAAAATTAATGCGAATGAGGGAATGCACATGGGTGTAATCCGTGCGACTAATTGAACGTTTCAAAAATTGCTCTTAAGGTGAAATATTATCTCTTTTTCTCTTTATCCCTGGTAAGAGAAAGTAGTTTAGCTTTGCGTCATTTTAGTGACGTTTTAATTTCTCTCGTAAAATAAATCGCGCGTGCTACGAGGTGTTTTCACTACAACGTATTTAAAAAAACAAAATTCAACATCGTTGCATGAATTTAATATAGAAATTATAAAAACGTTTACTTAATTTTGATGGGGAAAGACAAAATTACTTTCTTTTGGAGAGGAATATTCTTGACATATTATGTATGTACTTGCAAAAATATGTGTGGAAATTCAGAAACAAGATAACATACAATTTTTCATTTATATCAATATTTCTAACTCTATTTTCTTCATTAAGAAGTTGGAATAAAATATGATATATTAATAAGTTGTAAAAAGCAGAAAAACATCTTTATTTATTTTGTAAAATAAAAATTTCATTCTAAACAGATTTTTTATTAATGACATTCATAAATCAAAGTAGAATTAAAAATTAAAAATAAGATTATAAAAAGCAGTTAACAATGCGCAAATTATTCACTTTACGTGTTTTAATTATAATTACAATAAAAGATATTGTCACGATACCTTTCATTGTAATTATTTATCAAAGATAAATTATTATCTTTGATAAATAATTACAATGAAAGGTATATTGCAGCATTTATTATTATTATTGCAGCATTTAAAGATTGACAAAAGAATTAAATTGATATATCTATAAATAACTGCACAATATATATCTAATAATTTAGATGCGAATTAAATCTATATTTTATACAGTCACTAATTGCATATAAATTTATTTCATTTTATACAGCCACTAAAAATAAATTTATGACTGAATTTATTTTAAAATGCAATTATGCAGCTTAGTTGATAAAAATAAGCGATGCAATATGTAGCAGCAAAGCTTCTCTTTGTGCATCTTCTTAATAATTATGAAAAATTGCATAAAATGGTGTTAATAGGATCGTAAGCTGCTGAAATGCCCGCTGGCGATTGTGACGAATAGGAAAACGGTAAAGGATAAAGGAAGTGCTTTGAGAAGATATTATATTATACTTATTGTCTCGATAATATGCCTCTAAGTAACAATTCTGATTATGAATACCGAATTTTATATATCCTTCGAAGGAATTAGAAACGAAGGCGCCGTGAAGTCTGTTTCCTGTCTACAGATGACGCGCACAATTCACTATTAGTGATCGTCTTTGTTCGTTAACTTTTTATGACGTTAAAAGAGAGAAACTTATTATGACAGCTGAAAATGTTAGATAACGGAATTGAAGTTATAGTAAATGATGAAAAAGTATATAAAATCAATTTTTGTTTTATTAATTATGACGTTATAAATTTCAAAAATAAGGATATTATGGAAAGTTTTATGTGCTTTTCTTAACGATAATTTTATAAAATAAGTTCTATAATTATTTAGGTCGAATAAAAATTGCGAATGTTATATCTACGAATTTAGAAAAAAACATGCTTCTTGTAACATTTTCATTTGTCATTTAACATGGTAACACACACAATGACAGAATTATTCCATTAACAATAAAGTTCGACAGACAGTTTCGTTTAATATCCAGCGAATTATATTTTATTCAGTGAATTGTTCCTTAACTCTTATATATCGTCGTGAACATGAATTGCTTTATGTTTTTTTCAATTAATGATACATTTTATCACAGCGCCTTATCAATAATTCATTCACTGAAATTGTGATATAATTTTTATATGTTCATTGATACGAATCGCCTCGCGTTCTCAATTATTCATATCTGCACTTTATCGTTTTGATACGATTTGTATGACTATCAAATTAATCAGAATGTACTACAATTTTGTTATTCATGATTGCTGTTCTAATCGAATTGCAATTGATATGTGCGTATTTTTAGATATTGGGGCCTTGAAACATTAATGTGTTAAATATCGTAACACGCATATAAGCAAATAAAAATGATTGCTTATCTTAATTAACACTGGCAGATATTGGAAAAATATATGAACTATATTATGCTAACTTGTCAAATCACTATGACGATCGTAAAAGAAAGCAAAATATATAATATGCAGGTATAATTTTATGGCATCAATTGAATATATATTTCAAATGCTACATGCGCGATTGCTATGAACTTTCAATCCCAATCTATTTTTATTAATTAAGAAAACGAAATTAGAAACGCATAATAATAATAAGAAAATATTTGGATGAAAACAATAAGAGTTTCCATCGACATTCTTTATTTTTATTTTATTTGTTTTTCTGTAATAATGTAAATCTGCTACAAAATATAATGTAAATATAATGTAAAATGAATATAAAATTCCAAAATAAAGTAAATTTGTGTAAACATAATTTTTCGCAATTTGTAATGTCATTTATTCTATATGATATCTTGTCGGCGTATACATTTGTTCATACTACTTGATATTGCAAGAGGAACGAACGCAAGCATAATCGCGAAAATAAATTTACTTTCGCGTTGTATTGACACTTGATTAATCTCGTTTATGCTTTTCGCTGAGATCTACATAAGTATTAATTATTCCTAATTGACTGATCAGATTTTTACGATTATTACACGGATCTTTTTCAAGGATATCGAAGAGAAATCCGAATCTGTAATAATAAATAAATATAATTATAACGTTTGTAGAGATCGCACTTTAATACAAAATATCACAAGAAGTCTTGTTTTATTATATTTATACTTAAATTCTTAGATTTTTATGTAAATCGCATAACGATGATAAAAATTTAAAAAAAGAAAATGGGAACGTGAACGTTCTTTCTTTGGAAATGAGTTTGTAGGATGTTCTAGTATTGAGGTGAATGGAATTGTTACGTTATAGATTGTGAAATCAACGTTTGCTTGTGTGTACAAATCCCACGTAAGCAACGGTGATTCTTGTCGGAAAGATTACGTTTCTTAAGAATAACCTTTTGTGCTCCGCGGATTGCATTGATATCTCACAATATTTCTGCGTGTGCATGGCTGCTCCTTATTCGCCGTAATTGTACTAAATGTGCTTTTACAGTCATCACGCATGTCTTGGCAATGAAGTATATAGTTTGTCTCAAATAAATCCATGATCTATCTTAATCTTGCCTGCAATTACTATGATTAAATCTCAATAATGCGATCATTAGGTTGGCATCAGTGTGACCCCGATAAGTAAAGGGTATTGCAATTTTATGAAAACAAAAATTCGAAAATAATTTAATTGTATTTATTGAGATAGAGAAAGAGCGAGAGAGATGTTTCCTTTGATGAAAAAATGTAGTGAAAACGTCTACATAAAGTCTACGAAGATATCAGAAAAGGTTAAAATAAATCTTTATTTTTTTCTGATTCTTTGTGACATATTTATATTTTATGATATAAAGAGAAAAAAATTCAAAAATGCTTTTGATAAAAGATCTTATTACTTCATATAATAATTCAAAAATGATTGTATCTACATTGAGAACAAAAATATCTTAAATTTAACAAATATTTATTTGTATAGTACCAACTAAATATTTGTTAAATATAAAAATATATATTTATTTGGTACAAGAAACATTCATTTGATTTGACAATCATTTCTTTTTATTAAGTAAATATTTATTGTAAGTAAATGTTTAGTTGGCAGTATTCAAATAAATATTTATTTAAATTTAGGCTATTTTTTCTTAGTG